CACAGGTTTTCCATGAGTGCTTCCTGCATCCGTGTCAGAACAAGGGGACATGTGAGGAGGTTGGAGCAGGATATGTGTGCACCTGCATGCCCGGGTTCACAGGTAGATCACCCATCAGTAGATCAGTGATAATGATTGATTCTCATGTGACATATTACAAGAACTGGATACACCCTCTGATTTCACGGTCAGGTGCCAAGTGTGAGATTGACATAGACGAGTGTAACTCTGCTCCCTGCCAAAATGGAGGCCTGTGTAAGGACGGCATAGGAGACTTCCAGTGTCAGTGCAAGCCTGGATTTTTAGGTAAAGGGACCTTTGAGTTTGTAGCTCAGTTTGCACAATACTCAAAACAAAGGTTGGCAGGTTAGGGTCAGTGATTATTTCAAGGCCTTGGAAGTTTAGGTTTGACTTGCAAGTTTCTGACTGCACATTTTACAGAGCTATGACATCGATACACTGTAATATTTATATAATATACTCTATGTGCAACATTAGTGTATCTGATGTTTGTGCTTATTCTCCTGCTGTGTCTCAGGCTCTTTGTGTGAGGCGGAGGTAAACGAGTGCCACTCCAACCCGTGTCTCAATGAAGGCGCGTGTGTGGACGAGGTCAACAAGTTCGCCTGCAGCTGTTCCACGGGCTTCACAGGTTGCACACAGACTGACGTAACAATAATAGTTACATGTAGTGCGTAACATCAGATAACTCTTCGTGATCAAATGTCAACAGGATCTCGCTGTGAACTGGAAATCGACGAGTGCCTGTCCAACCCCTGTTTGAACGGCGGCGTGTGCGAAGACATGACCGGTGGTTACACCTGTAACTGTGCCGTTGGATTCTCAGGGGACAGCTGTGAGATCGACACTAATGAGTGTTACAGCTCTCCCTGCCTGAATGGAGGCTCGTGCCTGGATGCTGTGAACAGTTTCAGGTAATAAACGTCCAGATGGAAAGCAGGAGTAATGGGATCTGCTGCTTGAAATAAGCAGTACAGGAAAGAGTACTCATTTCTGATTAGATGTTTTGTATCTGCGTGATGAAGTTGACACAGACAGAATGTGGTCAGTTTTCAAAGTTAAAGTCCCCTCATGTGCAGTAACTTATTGTGCTGAATTGTTAAAGACTGCAAATAAGAAGTTATTGAACACGCTTGTCTTCTTCCTCTGTGTCAGATGTCAGTGTGTGGAGGGTTACCGAGGCCGGCTGTGTGAGGTGGATGTGGATGAGTGTGATCCGAACCCCTGTGTAAATGGGGCCAGCTGCTTAGATGGACTGGGGTCCTACACCTGCCGCTGCCTCCCTGGGTTCAACGGAACCAGGTGTGAGACAGGTACTATAGGCCAGATGGCACATCACCATGGCAACTCTAGATGGAGGAGGACAGGGAAAGATATAATTAACGTGAAATGTTTTCAGCTGTCAGTTACACCTGACTGTGTCTGTCAGAGTAAAGGGTCTTCATTGGTATAGCCCGGATAGCCTTTTGTCTTTGGCATCTTCGTCTGGACAAGTGGTGAAGATGATGGATGGAGAATTTCATGCAACTATAATAAAAAACATATTTTCAAAGTGTTTTAAAAAATAGACTAATAACAAATTTCCTTTCCTTGGATTTCTAAAATTTCAAATAAAACACCATATTTTGAAAATATTTATGGATAACTTTTGAGCTTTTTATAAGAGAGTTAGAAAGAAATGTAGTTGGGAAACATCAGCAGTAACTAAAATAATGTTTTTTTTGCATTTTTAAGTTAAATGAAATCACAGTTTCTTCTCTGTCCTGTCAGAGATGTCCTCTGCCTTCAACCTGGACTTTGAGGTGTCTGGCATCCACGGTTATGTGATGATGGACGGAGTGATGCCAGCGCTGACCGAAATCACCTGCACCTTCTGGATGAGGTCATCTGACACCACTAATTACGGCACACCGGTGTCCTACGCTGTGGAAGGCAGTGATAACGCTTTCCTTCTAATAGACTACAACGGGTCAGTGATGCAGCGAGGTTTAAGGGGCAGACGTTTTTTAAGTATCACTTTTCCTTCATGCGACTGAGCTCAAGAGTTGGGAGTTCGCCTTGTAATCGGAAGGTTGCCGGTTCGAGCCCCGGCTCAGACAGTCTCGGTCGTTGTGTCCTTGGGCAAGACACTTCACCCGTTGCCTACTGGTGGTGGTCAGAGGGCCCGGTGGCGCCAGTGTCCGGCAGCCTCGCCTCTGTCAGTGCGCCCCAGGGTGGCTGTGGCTACAATGTAGCTTGCCATCACCAGTGTGTGAATGTGTGGATGACTGGATGTGTAAAGCGCTATACAAATACAGACCATTTACAGGCCATTTACCATTTTTTTCTTTCTTTCCGGCGTTGCCACAGGTGGGTAATGTATGTGAACGGTAAGGAGCGGATCACGGACTGCCCTGCGGTGAACACTGGTCAGTGGTACCATATCGGTGTGTCCTGGAGGAGCTGGGATGGAGACTGGAGAATCTACATCAACGGGAAGCCCTCAGACGGAGGCAAAGGCCTGTCAGTCGGCACCACTATCCCAGGTGTAGTGCTATCCTCGGCCAAGACAGATGTTTTTTGAAGTCATTAAATATGCAACATCAGTGATAATTAGCTTTTTTGTTAGCTAATTTAGTAAATAAACAAAAACTCTGGTGGTTAACCTCGGTGCTCGCTGTCGTCTGTAGCTGGAGGTGCGCTGGTGTTGGGTCAGGACCAGGATCAGAGGGGGGAGGGCTTCAACCCTGTCGAATCCTTCGTCGGCTCCCTCAGCCAGCTCAACATCTGGGATCGTGTTCTCACACCACAGCAGGTAAACCAAGCTAGCTGATGTAAATTTACAAACACATATATTCACTAATAGAGGCTGACCAAGGATTTATCGTATCCATCCACCTCCACCTTCTCTGGCTGTACTGTAGATTAAGGTGCTGGCCAGCAGCTGCCCAGCTTCTCATGTGACCCACAGAGGGAACGTCCTCGCCTGGCCTGACTTTCTCAGTGGAGTTGTGGGGCGAGTCAAAGTAAACCTCAACAGCATTTTCTGTGCCGGTGAGAGAGCTTCACGTGTTTCAAAATCGTATTACCTCAAAATTGGAGCTCAGTTACAAACCGTGTGCAGCAGGTATTAGCCTTCAAGCTTTTTACATTTTCTCCAGACTGCCCCAAGCTGGAGAACACTGCGCCCCACCTCCACGTCTCCACTGTGGATGTGCGTCCCGGCGCACAGGTGCAGCTGTCTTGTGATCCCGGTTTCTACCTGGTGGGGGAGCCTGTGCTGCAGTGCCAAAATAAAGGAGAGTGGAGTCACAACCTGCCCAGCTGTGAACGTAAGACAAAGACAGGCAGTGCTCAGTCATGTGTTTCCATGGTTTTGCACCTGTTTTAATTGATTTCCTTTGTTATATCAAGTTTTGAATTTAAATATAATTCAGATTCAGTCTTTTGTCTTTATAAAAGCTGCAGGAGATCAAGTGGTTTTGTTTTAAGCTTGTGTGTTATCATGCCAAAATATTCTCCTGGAGACACCTCCACAGTGTAGCAAGACCGTTAGTTATTTTTTAGGGCACATTCATGCAGATACAGTCACAAACCAAGCGCTTTGTTGTTGATATCAGAATAAATGGGAATAAATGTGATCGCCACAGCAGGAAGCTCCAAATGCTTGATTTGGCAGATTTTTGTGCTAGCTGTCCGTCCCGACAAAACATCAAAGGTTTTTTTTGGTTCCTCTGAAGATCAAGATGGGACTTTCCACCTTTTAGCCAAAGTTTTTTTTGTTTTGTTTGTTTTTTTTACTGGATGAAAAATCAGAATCTGAAGGTTAAAAACAGCAAATATATCCTCATAAAATGAATAAATGGTTCTACCTTCAGACAGATTTTTCCATCAAGCAGTGTGTTGTAAAAATATGTTGTGTGGCTGTAACAGTCACATCCTCTGACACTGCTCGTTGTCTCTGGTAACACTTTATAATATGGCCCGTGATTAAGGGCGTAATTCCCCAATAACTAGATGCAGTTTCATTGTATTCTATTTAAAATTACAGTGTAATTATATTTACCTACAAATATTTGAAGGTAGGTTGACTAGAATAAAGTCAGGCTTTTACAGAAAATGCACAAATAATTATAGTAGTGTGTGAGGTATTTTTAATATTGAATAATTCCAGGTATTTTACATGTAAGGAGACACAAATTATACTGTATACTGTAATTTTATGGTAATTTAGTAAAAAAAATAACAATATTTCCCCATCTTGCATCATAAATACACTGTACTTTACCGAGTGGATTCATCTTTTCTTTTTACATCTTATGGGAGTTTACACCCTTGGCTGTTGGCTGTGTTATAAAGTGTTACCACATGTCTTACAGGTGTGTCCTGTGGACCTCCTCATCCACTGGAAAATGGCTTCTTCCAGGGAACAGACTTCCATGCCGGCAGCTCCGTGGTCTATGAGTGCAATGCTGGCTTTTACCTGCTGGGGGACACAAAAGTGCATTGCACCAACAGCGGCAAGTGGGGAGGAACTCCGCCGGCATGTTTGGGTACACAAACAGCTCAAACTTTTTACAAACACTTTTAAATAAAAAATCCTGTTTCTGTTGACTGACAACTTAACGGATAACCCATTTGTCCTTTTTTGTGTGTGTTTTTAATCATATGTGTGTGCAGATGTGGATGAGTGTGCCCTGGGCTCTGACTGTGATG